CTGCTCTTGGGACTCGCTCCAAGGACCTCCAGCCCCCGGGGGTCTCCATTGCTCTCAGGACTCGCTCCAAGGACCTCCAGCCCCAGGTGCCCGCTCTCTTGGGACTCTCCACCCAGCCCCCGCCGGCGGGCGGCTCCCATCTTTGCCCTCTCTCCTCCGGGACGCCAGCCAGCACTAGGTTCCGCCACCACCACCTTGTCTCTTGCCGCCCCGCCCCGCCCCTCCAACCCTGGGAGGGCGCATTGCGATTGGACCGGCCGTTGCCTAGCTACCCTGGGCACTGCGGTGCGATTGGCCGACGAAGGACGCCCCAGGTGTGAGATGGTACCTGGCGCCTCTGGCAGCACCTTTATTTCTTCTTGTCTCTTTGGTTTCCTTCTGTTCTTTAAAGACAAAGGAGGTTTTTGGTTAAACTCTGTGTGGAGTTTTGGGGGAGGGGCCCAGCCTGCAAGGGGTTAATGGATCTGTGGGGCAGCAGGGTCCCCAGCTCCCTCTTTGGGGTTTGAGCTTTCCAGGAATAAATCCAGGGGGGCAGCGTGGGGCCTGGAGGTCGGGGGGGGGCAGAGTTGGGTCATGGGGCTCACAGAGAGCAGGGTGGGGCCAGCAGCTTGTGGGGGGCTGGCGGGGGGCAGCGTGAGGGATTGGGGTAATGGGGGGCAGTGTGTGGGGTTGGCGGGGGGCAGTGAGGAGGATCAGGGTCATGGGGGGATTGGGGTCATAGGAGGCAGTGTGTGGGGCTGGTGGGGGGCAGTGAGGGGAATAGGGTCATGGGGGCAGTGAGGGAGTCAGGGTCGTGGGGGGCAGTGTGTGGGTTGGCGACGGGCAGTGAGGGGATCGGGGTCATGGGCAGTGAGGGGAATAGGAGTCATGGGGGGGCAGTGTGTGGGGTTGGCGGGGGCACTGAGGGGGTCAGGGTCATGGGGGGCAGTGTGTGGGGTTGGCAGAGGGCAGTGAGGAGGATCAGGGTCATGGGGGGATTGGGGTCATAGGAGGCAGTGTGTGGGGCTGGTGGGGGACAGTGAGGGGGATTAGGGTCATGGGGGGCAGTGTGTGGGGCTGGCAGTGGGGTAGACCCCCTTTCCCAGGACTCTGAGCTCTAGCCGCGCCCTGTTGCTGGGGGGGGAGGGTGCCCCGTTATTCCTGGACTGTCTGAGAACCCCCCCATCTCCCAGCCCCTTGGCCCCATCTGAGCCGCTTGTGCCCCCACCCCAGCGGGTCTGGGGGCCGCTGCCCCATGGAGACGTGCTGACAGGCCCCCTCCCCCTATGTGGGGCTCTCTCCCCTCCTCCGTCTCGTTCCCTCCTCCCCTCTCTCCGCAGGCCGCGGCGCAGCACAAGGCCTTCAAGAGGAAGATCTCCGTTGTGTGTAAGTGACCCCCGAGACCGGGCCCCAATTTCTTCTTCTCTCTCTCTCTCTTTTTCCCCCCCCAGAGCTGGACGGGCTCCTAGGACCCCTGACTCCATAGGCCCCATGGGCTCGTGGGGCAGTGGGAGTGGCCATGAGGCAGGGCGGGGCACTGGGATGCTGCCCCATGCTCTGATTGGCTGTAGGGTTGTGTGTGTGGAGAGGGGAATAAGGGATGGCCCTTCTGGGGGTCTCCAGCCTGTGCTCTGATTGGCTGTCGGTTGGTTGTGGACCAGGGGTGGGGCAGTGGCCCCATGCTGTGCTCTGATTAGCTGTTGGGTTGCAGCAGCGGCCAAGGGGGCAGCGGCAGGGAACAGTGACACGGAGGGCGGCCAGTCGGGGGGGCGCAAGCGGCGCTGGGGGTCCAGCACGGCTGCCACCCAGAAGAAGCCGTCCATCAGCATCACCACAGAGTCGCTTAAGGTACAGGGGGCCCTGCCCTGGACACCGGGGTCCCTTTCCCTCTGCCCATGGGGGGCACACGCCCTCCCTGCATGCTTGGATCCCTCGCCCGCTCTCCCCGCTGGGGGCCCTGCCCCGGACACCAGGGTCCCTT